ATATATATATATTGAAAGCTGCAAAAATCACTACCAATTTTCGTAGCTCCTGCATCGATCGAATTTTCAACCAGCTCCTTTATAGCAATACCAAGAGTAACAACTACCTGACTTGAGCACAATCTATTGACAGATCGAGCATCAAGCACCTTAATGTGCGACATCAGCGCGAATCAAATACACCTGGAGCCTCAAAACCAGCTACTCGTGGGGTTAATAAAACAAAGCATGCCATTTAAATAACAAATTGGTGTCATATATGCCTGAGCGAATTTATATATTAACTTAACCTAGTGTACTTAATTTACTTGTGTTGTATGCAAAGGTAAAAGAAGAAAAAATGAAGACTCGTGGTTTATAATTTTTGTAGTTCATTTCAAAGATCTTTTAATTAGAGATGGTTGTGATCTTCGAAGATGTATTGTGTGTTTTTAACTTGATTGTTTTTTTATGATTTCATTTTCTGTGATTTGAGGCATGTGCGTCATCTCATCCCAAAGACCAGTCCATGCGTATAAGGATAAGATGTAAATCAAGGTAGCAACCAGACGTACGTGTGGTTACATAAGCAAAGTACTATGCTGCATTCTTTGACATGATTTGTTGGATATAGAGATGCCGAATTCAAGCGGGATAGACTACAGAGGAGAGTTTGAAGAAAATCTAATCAAGACACAAAACCTTATCCGCCTTCTCCGGCGTGGTATTTGATCTGGACCCCTGCGTCCGATATACACAACTCCTATAAAAGACCTGCCTGCATTGTAGTACCTAACACAGTTTTAACTTTCCATTCGATTTAGGTCAAAGCCTATCAAGGTAGTTTTTAAGTAGGGTGTAATGGCCCAAGGTCTTTTTTAATAAGGAGATAACATTAAGTGAAGCTGAATGCATGCAGTAAGGGCAATCAGGAAAGAGGCCGGTCTGGTCGCAACAATAATCAATATCTCAGGTGGGACAGAAACCGGCACCCATACAGCACGAAGTAGTCTGTGGGGAAGGTTGCAGAAAGGCAAAAGTACTCGCTGCCTCTTTTGATAGAATGCTAACCTGCATTTCTTTGTAATCAACTAATCATCGAAATCTATATTATACTCAAAATGGAGGAGTCCTACCAGTGTTTCTACCAGCGTATTACAAACCCCTTCATCGCCTAAATGCCCCCGAACTTTCCTCAGGAGACAAGTTGTCTAAATG